TGTCATTGAGATAAGATTAAAACAAAATAATTGATGGGTGTTTCTGAATTGACTTTTTATCACAATACAGATCTCTCTCTCTCTCTCTCTCCCTCTCTCTCTCTCTCTCTCTCTCTCTCTCTCTCTCTCTCTCTCTTTCTCATCAACATCATTATCATTCGATGGTCTAAAATCGATAAGAGTAGGCTTCGGCCGCCACCCGGGCAAAATTCAAAATTTCGTGCCAACTGGAAACGTTTAATGTGTCCCGCACGTTCATACGATCTTATACAGATCTAGTTGTGAGCACCGCAAAGTGTAAAGCACTTACCAAAAAAACAAATAAAGGACTAGGAATTGGGAGAAGGTGTGGAAAAATCAATGAAACTAGAAATGGTGCAAGACGAGAATGAAATAGGAGGTAGATTCTACAGCGCCTCTTTTTTTTCTTCTTTTTTTTTTCAAGCATAAGAGCACTAGATCTAGATGCCTTTACAAAGTTGGAATGCTAGGCGGAGATAAACAGTGTGTTAGTCAATCACCGGTGTATGTGGTCAAATGTGGTGAACGGTTAGGCATTTCGAAGTCACACGCAGAAGACCTGATCAAGTCCGATTCCCGTGTGGGGACAATTTTTTCCTCGAGTTTCTCGCTTTATCTCCTGGAATGTCGTGTTATGTCTCCCTTGGCTGAATTAACCCTGACAAGCAGGCGAGTTGAAGCCTGCCTCCAAAATTATCGAAATTTTGTCAATGGGTGCGCAAAACCCACACTGTACACTTTTTTCTTAACGGAAAGAAAGTTTGTTTATCCCCGTATCTCTGGATGTCTGCTTCATCCCGCTCAGCCACGGGTTGCGGTAGTCCACCTCCAAAGGATGGAATCTGTGTCGATGTAGGCATAAAAAAGATTGTTTTTGTTTTCTGTTTTACGGCGCTCACAACTTCATTAGGTCATATGATCGCAAGGGACTCATTAAACATTTTAAGTTTAGTAGGATTTAATTTTGAATTTTGCCCGGGTGGCGGCTTAAGCCAACTCTTATTGATTTTAGGACCACCAAGGGATCTTTAACGTGCGCAATTTGCACTGAGGGCCACCAAGGGCCACCTTGATTTGTTCCGCTCTTTTCCGACTAGGCTGGGTCATAGATATTACCTACCCTAAGATCAGGGCTGTGGCTGAAAGACAGCAGTAAGAAGGAGCCGAGCAGTAGCAAATAGAAACGCTGCAGAAAGAGTAAGGAGCCCATAAGAGGGGCCAATTGGGTGGGCGTGGGGGCAGAAAGTGGAGACAAAAGCATACAACAGAACATGGTTAGAGAGCAGGAAAGGAAGTGAAAAGAGAAAGTTTCAGAGAAGAAAATTGTCCGTTGTTGTCAAGTTTCGAACCCAGGACCTATTGAATGAGAGGCGAACACCGTGCCTCCAGACCACGACGTTCCCGTAAAACGTTTACGCGCAGTCACAATTACCCCTACTTCAGACTACTTGATATGTCACACAGCCATGAAACTTCTTCCTCTTCTCTCTCATTCACCAATGCCTTTTTGCGAGTAAAGATCATAATATTATCAAGGGAGCAGACGAAGTAATACTAATTCCCTCATTACTGCAGCAAATACTAACTCCTGCTGCTGCTGCTGCTGCTGTCAGTGCTACCAC